AGCATTTAGTCTGCAAGTTTGAACAGCAGTTGAGTGAAGCAGGATGATTGAATGTTGATTTTTAGGGTTTATCGAATCATGCTTTGTAAAAAGAATAAAACCGTGACTATTTCTAGAAGTAAACAGGAAATGGTGATGTTATTCTGATATTCTGCTTTTGTGTGCAGCACTTTGGCCATTGACAGTTGTTCTTAAACGTGCTATATGAATAAATTTGACTTGGCTTTTCTATCTCTTAAGACAAAATTTGCATCCAAAAAATATCCAAATTCCTTACTTTTGTAAGAAGAATAAAACTTCTGGAAGATCTGAATTCTTTAGTTTTTGATGTTTGAGCTTTTTTTGTTTGTTTGTTTTTGTAAACACACTTTATATACTATTACTCAAAGTAAAAAAAAGAGTAAAGCACCTTTCAGACTTCCATTGTATTTTAGTTTCTTCAGCATTTTCTACTAAAGCCCATACAAGTCTATTCTGATTTAGTAAAAACATAATTGCTTTTTTGAATGCTTTCGCATAGAGGAGAAATGTCTCCTTTAAAAATATATATATTAAGCTAAAAATGTTCCCCAAAAGTGCCATCCTAATCATAGAAGCTGAAATTTTGCACTTTGGAATTAATGTAGAATCAGTGATGGATGCCAGTTGGCCATAACATGCACCAAGAACCAGAGGAAGGGCATATCTGGCTCAAGGCCATAATGAAACAAGATGAGATGCCATAGTACATAATTGATTCCCTCTTATGAGTAACAAGGCCTGGACAGGTAGACTTCTGCTGCTTTGGTCAGCATGAGGGAATTTAGTGGTCAGATGGTGTGGAACTGGATCAACCTGTCAGAATGAAATGAAGCAGAGAGGGGACTCTGGGTTCAAGCAGTCAGGCTGGTATCCTTCCTGGAATTAGCCTCCTACTTTGACTCAAGTCTGACATGTTCAGAGTTGGCACACAACCCTTCTGCTGACTACCACAACTTTTCACATGTACTTACAAAAACACAGGAGATAAGACCCTCTAAAAGAACCATATTGTAGACATACTCATTAGGCTGTTTATACAGCCAAAGATAAAGAGAAAAATATATTAATGTGGGTGAGTTGGCACAAGTGTGAAGGTTAAATATGGGTGGTTGCGTTCCTGACAGACATTAAAGACAGTCCCTTCAAAATGAGCTGGAGGATGTTTGAGATGTAAGGCTTTTAAAGTGTGCTCATTACGTTTTCATCTGAGTGCAGCCTTCTCCTAATGTAAACACATCAGCCTGACAACAAGGAAAAGACTTTGCAACTTTGTTTGGCATCTGCTTACATTCCCATCACTCCTCATCTGCCCTCATGAGTGATGGAGTTTGCTTACAGTATGTGTATACGTGTTGGATGATGGTCTGCTTTGTTCTGTGTGCACATGTACTTTATGCTTTACCAGACTGAAGCTGAGGGGGAGTGCAAAAGGGTGAACTTGGCTCTCCTATCCTTTCCACAACCCTTTTACATGCAATTACATTCCTCCTCTAATAGAGAACAGAGCTCCCTGAGTCCAATCACAATAAAGAGCTACTGTTGCCTCGCTGTATGTACTTATATGTGTGGCCACAACTGCCTCTTATCCCTGAGAGTATTTCCACTCATCTTGTCATCCATGCAGTTTTCTTATGGGAAGTTGATTACAGATTGATTGCAGTCATGTCTTTTTAATAAGTCATGGACCAGCCTGAGGTTCTGCATTGTGGAGTTAATAGGGATGGGACTAAGAACAATAAGAATGTTGTCCAGCATGTGCATACCTGGGTTCTCCAAGCAACAAGAGTTCCAGTCAAGACTGTGGGAACCTGAAAGAGCACTTGAGCTGTTTGAGTTTTTGAGTAATGGCAGAATCAGTATTTTTCCTGAAAGTGAAAGTGAAGGGGTGCAGCACAGTCAGTGTTGTGAGAAAAATACATAGACATGTATTATCTCTTTATGAGTTCCATACATCCATCTATATTCCCTGTATTCCTTTTATTTTGTGGGTTGTGGGGGAACTGATGCTTAACTCACCAAAAAAAAAAAAAAGATGCTTAACTCCAGCAGTCATTGTGCGAGAGGCAGGAAGGTTACGCCCTGGACTGGTCACAAGGCTATAACTGGGTCACATAGAGACAAATAATACCATTTACACTCTCACTCACACCTAGGGACTATTTTGACTTTCCAATTACCCTAACATGCATGATTTGGTCAGTAGTAGGATACCCGGAGAAAACATATGTATGCACAGGTAGAACAAGTAAACTCCACACAGAAAGGCTCCAAGCCTTGAGGCAATCCTGGTGTGATGCAACAGCTCAAACCACTGTCCCTCCATGAGTTGTAACATGCGTTTTTAACATTCACTGAGATTGTTGTTTGGTAAGTTTTTCTATCAGCTACTGTAAAAATGTCTGCCAGCTCAGAGATCAACGTTAACATCTTTTAACACCCTTTTTGGTGTTGGTCACTATAAGGTTGCTTATGCATTTCAGTTGCACCCCTTTGGCTTGATCCAATATGATTTGGAAATGTAGAAACATTAATTGTTTTAGAGGAGAATGTCTTGTGATTCATCTAAAACAACTCATATTTAAAATTTCTTAGCTATTTAAATGAACGCTATAGATTTCATAAAACTGTTGTGTACTTTAACAATTGTATCATCCATTTTCTTTACCCGTTTGTTCCATTTTGGGTCACGGGGGTCGCTGGTGCCCATGTCCAGCAATCACTGTGCGAGGGGCGGGGTACACCCTGGACAGGTCGCAAGTCCATCACAGGGCACAATTGTATCAATCAAACACAACTTGCTATACACAAAACCTTACACAACATCAAATAAAACCTGTCCTGTTCAAACAGTGTCAAATGAAAGAGAATGTTTTAGTTACTGACTCTGGCTCTCTGTTAAATAACGCAGTGCTTTTATCTGCAGTGACTTTTTAGGAACCCAGGCCAGTTAAATGCATGACTTAAGGCAAAAGTACGCCTCTTTAATGGATCGGTATTGAAAACATAGCCAGTTTATTGAATTAGGGAAAAAAAAAAAGGGTTTGAATGAAAATATCAGTGTTTTTTCTACTGTATTTGTTAGGGACCGATCTAAGCATGCTTTTCTTTCTGTGCTATTAATAATAATAATAACAATAATACACATTAAGGAGTTGCTAGATTATTATTTTTTTCATACCTTGGAAGTCAGAGGATCAATTGGTGGTCATGTTTCATTAATAGTTGTACTGTTCAATTTGCCTCAGTTTACACAGTATTGGCTCTCTTGTACAGGTATTTTTTTTATTTGGTTGCTCAGCTTTAAGTGGAGTAATACATATATATATATCAGTAAAAATGTCTCTTGGACAGTCTTGGTCAGTGTGAGTTGATTAAAAGCACTGAAAACGCTTCTCTTGGTCAGGATGTCACAGCATTGCCCTGACTTGTTCCTGTCACTCTTTTGCTCATCTTCACCTCCTCCTAAAGTCAGGAGTTCATGTAGAGTTATCAGTTGTATCCGGAAGGCAGGGATGATACCATGTCTATTAGATGTGTTTGTTTTTTCTTTGACAGCAGGCTTGTCGCAAAAGATGTCTACCTATTTCTTTAGATGCCACTCACAATGGTTTCATGAATAAATGCTTTATCCACATCCAGCACCGGCACCTGAACTGTACATCCCCTCTCTCTCTAGAACAAAGCATTCAGTCATGACTCAGTCAAATAATCATTATGGTTCTTTAAGTGTCTGTGTGGAGAGGTGGAACCAGCAGTCAAAGCTGAGGAATGCACTTCAATAAAACTGCCTTTGAATGCTTTTTTCCAGGAAATGTCATAACAGCAAGTTAAAAAAAAAATCAGACAGGATAGACAGGATAAATTAGTTTTGCTGCTGCCAGTGGCAAACAGCCATCAGTACAACTGATAGTTGAGTAAAAGGCTGTTTTTCAGTCTGAGGGAAATGGACCATGGCATAGTGCTGCGCTACAGACACATCTGAAAGCGTTGCTGTGAACTATAGCTGATCATTTTCTATTGTCTAATAAGGTATCCAGAGTAAACCGGTCCCTCATGCTGTCAACAAACCTCCCAGCCAAAGTACAATTTATCATTTTTATTACGTTAAAAACAATAAAGGAAAACCAATGTTTATAAAAGGTGCACCGTTTTTTTATGTTGTCAGTGTTCAAATAGTTATTTCTTAAACTAATTAATTTTAGGACATTGTATATACGAAATATTCTTTTTATCTTGGGAAAACAGCGCTTCCCTTTGCTGTTTTATATTTTAATGGAGGTTTTTGGTGCAAACGCTGAGTTTTAAAACACATATACATGAGCTATGTTTATATGGTAAAATAATTTTAGGCTTTTTCTTTAATTCTATGATGATTAAAGTAAATAAATTAATTAATTAAAAAATATATATATATTGTTTAAGTCCCTAATTTGAAAACTGAAGAAAGATCCTGTGCAGGCTGTCCCTCATGCAGGTCAGCAAATACAGAAAACCATAAAACATTTGACTCTATATGCTTTTGGGTGCAATTACTAAAAATGTTCTTCTGCTATAAACAGGCACCGGTACAGTCACAGACAAACTTTTGTAAATGCACATAACGAGCACTGTTGTGCATATAGCTATAGAAAAATAAACATTATAAACTTATAAGCTGCTCATGAATATTGAATGATTCCACTTTCATACTGAATACACATGTTTCTGTGTGCTTTGGGTCACTTTTAAATAATTAATTCTGCTTCCTTCTATCTTCATTTATCAAGATTAGGTGCACTTCTCTGTAACTTACACAAAAGAGAAAACAAAAAGCTTTTAAAGCTTACTGACAAATGTCAACACAGACATGGGGCAACACTTAATGCAAATGTTATTTTCAAAGAATTTGTGATTTTTCTTAATGTATAATGTTTATAAGTTCTATTATGAAGCCAAAAAAAAGCATTTTAGTTTGGTATTATTTGTTTCTTTGCAGGTATGAGATCAAGTATGACAGAGACGACTATGTTCTGAGAGTGAAGAAAGCTTCTATTAATGATGAGGGCACGTTCACCTGTGTGGCAGAAAACCGTGTGGGCAAGCTTGAGGCCTCTGCCGCTCTCACTGTAAGAGGTATGGAGCACACTTGTTCTATTTTTTTTCCCATTAACTTGCACATAACACCACATACACAAGTCATGGCCCATAGGGTTATCACTACGCTCCACCAATATGTGGTTCAAATTGGAAGTTGTATCCATGGGGACTCTTTTATGCAAATGAAAATACAGAATGCAGATTTTTTTCACCAAGAGAGATGCAGACAGTCAATGAATCTGTTCAATTATTTATATTTCCAATTGCATCATTGACACACTCTGTCACCCTCCCTTCTCCGCCGTTGTGGTCTGCTGCTGCTACCCTCCATACTGTAACCACCCAGTCAGCAAAGCCATTTCACAGATTACTGGTGCTCACCGTTACCACCACACCTAGGGTTTGAAAGGTTAATACAAACATTCTGCTATAATTTTTCTTTTTTGCACCGCTCTTCTTTTCCATTACGCTCAGGTATGTGCAGTCTCTGCAGAGCGCTATCTTAGAGTGACACATAAAGGTCGAAAAGTAAGGGCTGACTTTGCTACGAGTTCTAGTTTCTTAGAAGCAATATTTGTGAGTGTTGCATCTTCACTTTGAAGGCACAGCTAGCTACACTGAGGAAATGTGAAGGAACACATATTGTTTCTTCTGTGGCACTCTCTTTCAAAAGTAAAGTTTTCAGACGAGTGTCTATGGATGAAAAATTTAAGGTGCTTTTTTTCTTGTTTTTCATCTTTTTGGTTTAGTTTTGGAGCTGTTAATTGATAGGATTCTAGCACCAACAGACACCACCCATATGATGTAGGTTTCATTTAAGCAGACATAGAAGGTCCAATATGTTTGTGCCTAAAGAACAAAAACGGTTTCATTTTTTGGGAAATTTGAGTAAACTGCAAACACAAGTGAGTTTTTCTTTTTGATATGTATTTTATTTGATTTATTTTTTTACACCAGACTGTGTTTTCATTCAAGACAGAGAAAAAAACAGATGCTTTCAGCTCATCTACAAACTGTCCAGTGGACCAAAGTTACTGGATCCATTCTGTCAGGCGCACACTAGAAACGTGTTGGCTGCAGCTCAGCTTGTCATTCATTCAGATTTTGGTTTATGTTTGTCTTACTTTTTTTATTTTTTTCTGTTCCTCTTTTTGTTTGTTTGTTTGTTTAAACGTTGTGTGTCTTTGTCATCCTTTGTTACTTTTGTGTATCCACTCCACCTGTGTTGTGTGTCCAGCTCGTCCTGTTGGTAAGTACCCATCCTTCTGATTTATCCCATTCTGCATGTTTCACTTAAACATTCCTGCATTCAACGGCTTGACAATCAGCTTCCTTTGACATTACTGTTTTTGTATTTACCTAACAGACATTTCAATGAACTGTCTTTGTTTAATTTTCTAATTAATGTGCTTAATACTTATATTCTAGTAGGATATTTTACAATTTTACATCTGCAAGTAACTTGAAAATATGCATTTAAGCATATGTTGTTTATTGCAACTTATTAGAACTCTGAGACAAAAACAAAATGTGAATGTTTTTCAAGTCAAATGTATTTCAACCATCAAATATATATTTGTCAGATTGCATTTTAGGTTTCCAGTTATCTGTCAGCTTGGTAGAGATTTCACTAAGCACAAAATGTATTGATATTTAACTAGTAGCACATGGTAACTTTGTAACCAGCGTGAAAAATGTTGAAGGAATTGGACAGTTTTTTTTCTTCTATGAACTGGACAGTTGTTTATAAACTGGATGTGTGACAACCAACACTCAATACTGACTGTGGTTGAGTGGTTAGAGCAATCGTCATCCAATGCAAGAGTTGTGGGTTCGATTCCACCAGAAGCCACACGCCAAATTGTCCCTGGGCAAGACACTGACTGAACCCCTCATTGCTTCTGATGTGTGTCCCATCGGTGTATGAATGTGATAAAGCTCTGATTATTCTGTGTAGAGATCTAGTAGAGTACTGTATGGATGGCTAAATGAGGGCACAGATTGTGTTGTAAAACACTTTGAGTGTCTTGATAAGATAGAAAGATCCTATATACTTTAGGTACAGTCCATTTGCCATATATGTATATTAATTTTGTGATTTTTTTTATATATATATTTTTTTTAGTTTGTGATATCTACACCATCATAAGCTTATTCATCCATTCTGTGTCCTTGTAAGATATTCTCTGGGGTTTAATTTTAACAAAGCAAACACCAGCTTTAACAAGTTTATTCAGTCATATTTACAATGTTTGTATACAATATTCAATTTTCTTCCCAGCTTTGTTTACGCTAACATTTTTATAAGCAGCTAACACAACTGGTGTTAGCTCCAGCGACACATTTCTACTGCACATTTATATCAACTATGGTAATGAGCTTTGCCATGTGTTTGCAAGTTGGCTCTGCATTTTAACAATGGCTGAGTGGACCAGCAGAAAAATAGTCTCAGACTCTGTTTCATATGGTCCAGGTTGTGTTTAAGTTGTGAGTCTTTAGGCCATCTGTGAAATGCTGGAGCATCATCCTGAGATCTAAGTTGGACAGACTTCCTTTTGTTTCGGATGCTCGTCTCAGAACTTGGAAACACAACTTATCTTGCTTTGGTGGTCAATTTAGAATCCAATTTGATTTATTTACAATGCTAGATTGTTAGCGTAATCATTTTGAGGGAGATGTGCATTCCTGGGAGCAGAAACTAGAAGAATGCCGTAACAAAAAGGTTCGGCATGACAAAGGATGGAGAAGAAAAAAATGGCAGAAGTTTGAGTCAAGGCAGACTGACTGATTTCAAAAAAGGAAGAAGAAAAACAGACTCTGCCTCAGTGGCAGGACTTGAGTTGCCAAAACAGCAGTAGCTGTTCAACAATTGTCAAACTGTCAGCTTCCTAGAGAATGGAAGAAATTACACATTCAGTCTGCCTGGGGGAAGAGACAGTAATTGCTGTCAACCTTTGAATAAAATATGATTGAACGTGGGATTTGGACGGAGGAGGAAATGTTTGTGACTGCAAGCGCTGAATGGATCTCTGTCTCCTTGTCCATTTGTTCTTTTCACCCTGACTTCTGTTATACGCTGAGCCCTCTGCAAAGCAGGCAGATGCGACTTGTCATGAATTAAATATGGGCCCCTGATCATCTGTTTCTTTAGGAGCGGACAGGAAAGAGCTTCTCGTGTGTCATTAAGGGTCTCTGAATCAAAACAGAGAACGTGTGAGTGAGTCTAGAGCCACATTCCAGCTTCTTTCTGAAATGTCTGAAAGTTAGTTCTATAAATCTCAGTGAAACTTTCTGTGCATTTTAGGTCAGTTAATTTGTTTTATTTGTTTGCCAAATATTTAATGCAACATAAAAAAAATAATAAAAATACCAGTGTCAACCCAAAAACTGATGAAGCTAAAATGCTTGCCTTGAATTGGGTAAATATCTATTTTCTTCAAACGTTGCTGCTTTATGTGCTCAGTAGGAGTCTGTTTGAATTGGAAAGAGAAAATATTAAAAAATGGAAACTGTAGAAAACAGGACAAAGCTTACACGTACAACAAAGCAACCATTTTGTAAGGTGTGAACTCACATTTTTAGTAAGTTCTTTTGTAATGTGGTGTATGGAACGAACAGAAGAGTATGGTAGATGGAAAGGGAGGGGAACGGCGTCCTTGCCAGAGCATGATTTAGGAGCTGTGTATCAGGTCCAGCATTATGAGAGCCACGAGATATACAAGCTGCAGAAGGCCAAATGGTAAAGCAGTAAATCTGTTACCATCTGTACCATTCCCAACTGTGTGTATCTTTGACAAATACACACCCCCAAAAAAGAATTACATGACGACACCAGCCAAATGGGAAGAGACCAGCTTTACCGAAACCAGCTGGCTTATTAGAGAAAAGGCTCGCAAAAAATATATAAAGAAACAGAGAGTTCAAGATGTTGCACTGCAACAATTCAGATTTTAATTTGTAAAATTTCATGCAGTCTGTTATTTTCTTTGTCTCTAAATATGCATGTAAAACATCCTTTAACCCGCTGACATCATATATGAAAGGTCAGGCATTTAACTCCGAGCCTTAAATAAGATGACTTTCATGTGTGCTGTGCAAATGATGTTAGCTTCTGCAAGAGATGTGTCATTAATGTATTCTTTGCAAATGCTGTCAAAATGGGACAACGTGGCCCTCAGAGACAAGCTTAGAATAAACAAAGAGAGATTTTAGGACGTGCAGCTAAATGCTGTATTTTGCATTATTTTCAGCTCAGTATGTGCACATAAAAGACAAACCCACTGTTATGGTAGTTGACAAACCTACAGCTTATAGACTTCTACTTTTAAACCATAGGTAAAACATTTTGTTCATACCAATGGTGTATCTTAAACATGATAATAAGTTTTTAAATACAAGGTAAAGCTATACCTTAAATCATACCCTGTTTGTCATTTGTCTTAAAGCAAAATAAATATTTATATATATTAAAGGACCATTAGGCTACATTGATGGAGACTTGTGAAACTGGTTAGTGGTTTTGAAACCATGACATTTAAAGTCATCAAATATCTTGAAACCAGAAACAACCCTTCTTTTTTTTTTTTTTTTTTGTCAAAGAAAACATACAGTATCCTTTATAGTTCTTTATTATGCAGCTACTCAGGAAGATTAGTCAGCATTTCCTTGCTTTTTGTCTTGTAAAATGTATTTTGTACTTATTTATTCATTGCAAGATACCTACCTAACCTGCTGTTAAAGAATATTAAAGACACCAGAAGAACTTCATTATGTTCTTCTGGCTCCTTTTTTCTTTCTTAGTTAATCATGTCTGCCAAGTTTTTTTTGTAGAAATCCTTCTCTTCGGCCCTAAGGCGAGTCTGTGACAAGTGGACTGACTATTGATAGAATGTGGAACACTTACTGAGAAAACAGAGTGTGATAGATTTTCTGGCCTCTTCACTTTTTGATGGAGAAGTGTTAGCTTGAGGTGTGATAATCACAGAAACATTCTTCAGTCTCTCACTCTCTTTCTATAACTCCTCTTCGATCAGAAGTTGTATCAAACCACTTCAGATCTTGACTTTTATATGCGATGTACTCTCACGCAGAGTAAATCCTACATATGGAAAGTCAGACACAATTAACCCTTTGTGTTTGGACCTACCTATGGTGCAGTGTTGGATGTGTTTAAGGCATGGGTGTGCCTATGTGTTGTCTGAAACTCCAAAGTCGTCATGATTGAGGCTCTTCATTGTGTGAATGCCACCGTGATTGTCATTCATTCAACTTTAGCCTCACCTGGATGAATGGCCAAGCTGGTTACCATGACAGTAGTACTGTTCTTTGTTCAGAGCAAAAAACAGATAGAATGCTGCATGAAAACACTATTGGTTTTGATATGACCGTGTGAATTATTGCTCGTTTTTTGCCTGAAGTTCTTCAGCTCTAATAGCTTCTAGCCTTGCAACATTCCAGTTGTTTGTTCTTATTGTGTACTAATCTTCTAACACTGTTACTTTGGGTCTTTGACTTCAGCTCCACCCCAATTTGTCATCCGTCCGAGGGATCAAATAGTATCTCAAGGCCGCATTGCCACCTTCCCATGTGAGGCCAAAGGAAATCCTCAGCCAGCTGTTTTCTGGCAAAAGGAGGGAAATCAGGTAAGATCTAACACTTTAACAAAACCCTGGCTCAGATTTATTTAACTTTGTTTTCTCTGTTTCACTACTTCCATCCATCCATCCATCCATCCATTATCTTTACCCACTTCTTCCTTTTTGGGTTGCGGAAGTCACTGGTGCCCATGTCCAGCAATCACTGTGCAAGAGGCAGGGGACACCTGGACAGGTCACAAGTCCATCACAGGGACACACAGAGACAAACGAGACAAACAACCATTCACTCTCTCACTCACACCTAGGGACAATTTAGAGTTACCAATCAACGTAACATGCATGTCTTTGGTTTGTGGGAAAAAAAAAAAAAAAAGGAATACCATTGGAGAAAACCCACGCATGTATGGAGAGAACATGCAAACTCCACCCGTCCCCCAGCTGGGATTTGAACCGGGGCGACCTGCTCACTGAGGAGTATCGGCTCTACCAGCTGTGCCACCCTGCTGCCCTTGTTTCCCTACTTATAAATGTGAATAGCTATTTTTGCAGGAATCTTTAAATACCTAATGGGTGTACTTTTTTAACGCTCAGTGCTTTGTTTGGATTCCCCTGGCTATATGCACAATAACTATGTGCTTATTCTTCTGCCGTGCTCACACACACAGACACACGCACAGCAGCTCAAACTGTACAATCTCTAATCAGTATCTTCACTAAAAACACAAAGATACACCTTTGTTCTCCGGAGCTGCCAAATGAAAGTGAGCCTGGCAAAGTGTTAATCGTTTTGTGTCACCCTGAACTGATAAGAATGATTGTATCTTTCACTCCGTGTGATAACCTGATTCAAGTACCTGGGAGTGATCACAACAGTCAACAACGGGGCCAATTAGGAGCCTGTTGGGGCTTGTAGATGAGCAAAATATATGACTCAACTCTGGATGAGGTTGGAGGACTCACACAAAGATGCATTCTTTGCCTAGAGGCCAACAACTGTGAATCGTTTATTTTGTAAGCAGAAGTGCTAACAAGCTAACATGTTCACACAAACATTTGGCATAATAATAACCCACCTGTGGGTGACCTAAAGCTCCGTGCGTCACTATAACTTCAGAGTTAAGGCTGGTGGATGTCACACTGTTATTAAAAATGAGGTGATGGATCTGAATACACCACAAACATTTCATACAAGCAGATGCACATCTCCACCTGAATGCTTTCTTTGATAAAGTGATTGGGATATGAAGATATCTTCAAGCAGAGTATCGTGAAGGCAATTAATTGTTGTAATGACTGGACATAAACAGCTTTTTTTTTTTTCCCCTCCTACTTAAAGACAATGAAGTGTGCATTTCTCACATGCTCAAGATGCATGCAAGCTAATTTGAACCAACAGCATCATATGTTTGGTTGATGTAATTGGGTATACTTCTTGTGGGTGTTATTTTTGCTGTTTTTGAAAATTAATTATGCTTAAAAAATTGATTATTCACATCGATGGCAGACAAAAAATGCTATTACCAATCTGCAAGAATGATAACTCATTTATAGAAAAGACAAAACTTTTTTTTGTTTTTTTTGAGCTGCTAAACACTAAAACATATGTCTACAAATGAAACAAAACTGTTGCAGTTTGTCACTATTTGTTTCATAAAGTAAAGGCAAAATTGTAGAATCTCACAGTTGTGAATAAAAATTGAATTATTTTCTGTCACACGTTATGAATAATAAATGTCACACCTGCATTACTGACAACAAACATGGTCCCAAAAGAGAGCTGACAATAGTTTTGGACATCAAAAAATGGAAAAAATAAAAAGTGAATGGACAATTTTATTCCATCAACGTAAAGTAAATTCCCTAATAATAGTCTTTTTTTTTTTCTTGGCCATTCAGTTTCTTTGGAGCAAAACGTGTTCTTTAGGAAAGACTTATCAGCTTAGTGTCCTGGTCAGTGGACAGTCCAGGTCTCAATTCAGTTTTAAAATATGTCATAATCTTATTACAAAACGTCATCTTGCAAATCTCGTGTCAACAGCGATATGAGGAAATTCAAATCTGATTGATGAAGAACATTTCCCATTAGTAAAGTCCAGGCTTTGATAGATTCAAGCTGTCCTACACACAGAGGACACGAAACAAAGTCATAAGTGATATTGCTATGACTTTTTTTATTTGTTTTTCTATAAAATATCTGAACAAACATCTGACCATTACACTATCACATTTTTTTTTATTTGCTTGTCTTCTAAAAAAGTACAATGCTGCTGTTTTAATTCAAATTCAATTTAAATAACATTCAATTCAAAATACTTTATTATTATTATTATTGTTGGGGTTTTTTTAAGAAAAAGATGTGGAAAACAAACTCAAATAAAATCAATCAAGAGTGTGGTGGAGTTTAAACTGAGTGAAAGGAAGGTAAAACACCATCAACGTCTACCTTTCTTGTTGACACTTCAAGGATTAACTTTAAAAGTCTATACGTGTTTTTTTTTTTTATCTGTTTGTTTGAGGTTGGTTAGCCAAGTGATAGATGGCATTTCTCATTCTATAGCATTTTCATCTTTTTAGCATTTCACTGTGCCACTTTGATTTAGCTTGTACGTAAATAGGTTATTTAGTCATGTTTCCATGTTTCTCTGGGTTCATGCTCGCACTAATTGGCTGTTTGTTCCTCTTTCTTCAGAATTTGCTCTTTCCCAACCAACCCCAACAGCCCAACAGTCGCTTTTCAGTGTCGCCCAGCGGAGAGCTCACCATCTCATCTGTGCAGCGATCAGATGCTGGTTACTACATTTGCCAGGCTCTGACCGTTGCAGGCAGCATTCTTGCTAAGGCTCAACTGGAGGTTACAGATGGTGAGGGAAAACTAAAGTGTGACTATTTCCATCTCTGCACACAGCTGCACACCAGCACATGCCATATCATCACTGTAAACACGATGAAGCTGGAGGCTCATCACCAACCAGATGATGCATGCTTGAATTAAGGGCATTTTATTTAAATGGCTTGCATGCCTTGTTCAATTTTAATTGGGATTTAGCCATAAACGCCTTTGAAAGGATGCAGTACAAGTACAAATATGTTGGTGTTTTCTTCACAAACAATTTCACCATTTATGAATTAGCAGTGCACCATTGACTTCCAATTTCAGCATTTTGCTTGACTATTTTTTTCTTATTTAATCTGAGAAATTTAATTAAAACTTTCCTCTTTTCCCTTCAGTAGGAAAATAAAGCATTGTCCTTGAGTTTCTTCAAGTTTAATGATCAGCATTTGGACGAGGCACAAAAATGTGCATGAGGGAAGGAGGAAGGGACAGAAAGACAGGGAGATTAATTGAATGAGTGACAACAGCCTTTAACGGAATGAATAATGTGCTTGCTTAGTATGGGAGCATCTAATCTGCTCAGCTGCTATGATGGCAAGATATACAGTTATCCATATGTCTGCTGAATACCTGCAAGCAGGAAAATTAAAAACACCACAGGAAGACTTTTTTCCACTTTTGTATGTCCTTCAAAGAACTAATACAACAAAGCATGATTTATCACTCATAAAGAATCATACAGTATATCTGAAGAATGTAAATCAGTCAAGATATGAGCATTATTAAGCATATCAAAAAGTTATTTTTTTAAATCAAAATCATTTTTATGTTAGTGTTTTCAAAACTTTTTGGATGGAAATCTGGCATTCTTTTTTCTTCAAAAAATGTATGTACTGAAAGGAATGTTAACAAAAAGTGTGTTGGTTCTATGACTGAATGAGCGAAAGGAGGACAGAACAAGGGAGGGTCAGGGAAAGGTCACGGCCACACCTGCTGCAGTCTTCATGTGATTTACTGCCCTGAGTTGTGCCATCAGTCTGTGGAGTTCAAGGATATCTGTAATGAAAAATTCCTGATCCAGAGACCCAAGGCCAAGCTGAGCTATGCCTCCTCCTTATGTCACTCCTACATGACATCAACACGTGCATCTGATGCATCAAATCTCCCGTCGAAGCTGTGCACTCTGCTTGTGCAGTTGCTACCGGTTATCAGCTTAGGATTCTGTTCTGAATCGCATTTTGTGTTTGAGTCAAAACTTGAACATTGATGTAGACTGTAATTTATATGAGACTTTTTTTTTATTAGATGACATGATGTTAGTTTAGGCAGCACGGTGGCGCAACAGGTAGAGCTGCTGCCTCTCAGCGAACAGGTCCTTGGTTCAAACCCCGGTCCAGGGGCCTTTCTGGGTGGAGTTTGCATGCTCTCTCCGTGCATGCGTGGGTTTTCTCCGGGTGCTCCGGTTTCCTCCCACAGACCAAAAACATGCATGTTAGGCTGATTGGTAACTCTAAATTGTCCCTAGGTGTGAGTGAGAGAGTGATTGGTTGTTTGTCTTGTTTGTCTCTATGTGGCCCTGTGATGGACTTGCGACCCATCCAGGGTGTACCCTGCGCTTTGCACAGTGATTGCTGGACATGGGCACCAGCGACCCCAGTGACCCAAAATGGAATAAGCGGGTAAAGATAATGGATGGATGGATGGATGTTAGTTTAGATCTTGAGCATGAAAGAAAAAAAAAATCAACTATTCCTATATCTTGGGGCGGCTGTGGCTGAGTGGTTAGAGCAGTCGTCCTCCAATGCGAGAGTTGGGTGTTCGAATCCACCAGCAGTCACATGCTGAAGTGTCCCTGGGCAAGACACTGAACCCCTCATAGCTTCTGATGTGTCCCATCAGTGTATGAATGTGATCTAAAACACTGATTAGTCTCATTAGAATTATTTGTTCCATTAGCTTTGTAGAGATCTAGTAGAGTGCTGTATGAATGGGTAAATGAGGACACAGATTGTAGTGTAAAGCGCTTTGAGTGTCTTGAAATAAGATAGAAAGGCGCTATATAAGGACAATCCACTTACCATCTTTTTGGATAATGTAGTCAGAAGCTGGCTGGTCAAAGGTGCATCACATTTGGTTTGCCTTATTGCTTTTTCATTTTAATTCTCACCTTTGAGCAGATGAAAAACAATTAACAGTAAGTCCTACATTTGGCTTGTGGCGAATAATCAATTTTATATTTGCACTTATTTTCCACCTACATCTAAGCTGACCCCAAGCAAGGGGACCATCACACCTTAAAAGTGAATTACCTTGAATTACTTCCTTTTGTCAGATGTAACTATGAAAGAGAAAAAAAAAAATGGTTGGACACAAGGGCGTGATAATGTGTTGAAAGGTTACTGAGGTAGACTTGGTAATTAGCCCCTGCAGGTCTGACATCATTAATCCATACTTTCTAATTAATGTAGGTTCTGTGATGCCACGGGGACTCCACATTATTCAACTCTAAATTATAAACTGTCTATGTGCTCTGGCGCTAAATCTTTTGGAGATCACCTCTATCTTATCCACTAATTCATAAAAGTAACCCAAAGGCTTTTGTTGCACATTATAGCAAATGAAACTGCTCGTATGAAAAGAACAGATCATAGCATTAACTTTTGCCTAAATTAAAACTGGAACATTTGTTGTGAAGACTAAAAAAATGGTAGCGGTCAATATTTAAGAATCATCTTTTAATTTAGCCCTATGCACATAATGAAGTATTTATCCTAACCACGTTGACTCAGCCAGCAAGTGTCTCACCGCCCAAGTACACCACAGATTCTTGGGTAATGTATAAAAATAAAGCTACCCGGGCAGTAACAGGAAACTGTTACCAATCCTCTGCCACATCAATGAAACAAGAAAACACTGCTCAGCTTGTTTCCATCATTCTTAGAAATATAGGATAAGCTCATTGTTCTGTGGCAAAGTTTAATGACACGGAAAAAAAAAGGCTGACCCTATGACAGGTACCACTACCCACATCTGTCTCTGGGTGTTTTATGATTAATACTTAGACTCAATTTGTTTTACAATCTGACATCCTATATGAACACCATTATCCCCCTGAAAGCAGATAGCATGCTCATAAATTTGTTTTTATGTTTAAGTGCTAACAGACAGACCGCCGCCCATTATTCGCCAAGGACCATCCAATCAGACACTTGGGGTGGACAGTGTGGCACTATTGAAGTGTCAAGCATCTGGAGACCCCATCCCTTCTATCAGCTGGCTGAAAGATGGAGTCAGTCTTTTGGGAAAGGATCCTCGAATGTCCTTGCAAGAGCTGGGCAGCCTGCAGATCAAAAACATCAGGGTAACAAACTTCGACCTCTATGCTTTACAACAATGCAAATCGTGCACCAAACATTTTATAAGTCCCAAAGTATGTGCTTTGAATTAACATTTGTCTTGATTTCAGATGTTTTCAGAAATATGTATTTGTTTAATTTTTCCAAAAATGATTAATGGCATGATAGAAGCTATAAAGAGATAAATTGTCTGCATTGATTTTTTCCAGAAGTGTTTGATAGCATCACTTAGTGGCATGGCAGCTCAAACTGGGCTCAGCTGTGGATGAATGAATGGACTCCAGCTGTTGGAGAGAATATATTCACTTACCGATACATGCACACATGTGTACGCACATGCACATTTAGAGTAGATTAAATTTAAGAGGCTCACATCTTCGTTCCCCCACTCAGAGGCCTCAGTGGAATACCTATTATGTTTGACAAAGCTTCAGACCACTGACATGTTATTTAATAAATGGAAGGAAGGCGCAGGAACAAATTTCAACAAACAACCAAAGTTCCTAAGAGAGATGGAGAGACAAGCCAGCTGTCATCAGTCCAGGGGTTCTATCGGTTTGCTATAAATTAATTAGCCTGGCTTTGTTGTGGTCGGCAGGACAGCGGGGAAACAAGAAGCGAGGGAAAAGTGATGGAAGGGTGGTGAGTAGGAAATAGAATTCATTAGGAAATTAGCGTCAGCACTTTGAGGTACTCACAAATGACACAGAGCTTGTCCTGCGCAGGGTTAGCATGTGGCATCTTCCTATTTGATGTGTTTCAGCAATAGGATTATCTTAAGAGGGTGCATTACTAAAATAAATCTTGCAATAAAAGTGTTAGTAAGCTCTGCATGTCTGCTTGTTTTTATTCAAACATCTGGGCATTTTTTGCTTTACACCAGCTTTCAGACTCAGGGATCTACACATGTGTGGCAACAAGCTCAAGTGGTGAAACATCATGGAGTGCTTTCTTAGAAGTCAAAGGTTGGTCAAGAACAATTTTATATTTTATGTACATGTAACGTGTTGACTGTAATGTTTCTTGAATATATTCTGTGTCTTCCTTTGAATTCTCACAGAATCAGGTGGAGCAGTAGTTGCAAAGAACTATGATGAGAATGAGCTTCCAGGCCCACCATCTAAACCTCAAGTTACTGATGTTACCAAGAACAGTGTGTCCTTGTCCTGGCAGCCTGGACTGACTGGAGCATCACCGGTCTCTTCCTATGTCATCGAAGCATTCAGGTTTGTGTACCATTACACCAAACCCTCATTTTGTAACAGCGCTGGTCAACTAGAACTATTAGTTAAACATAAAAACGTAATGTACCATGAGAATGGGACACTGGAAAACAGTTTTTAAACCCTTCTCTTTTCTGTTGCAGTCAATCAGTGAGCAATAGTTGGCAAACAGTTGCAGATCATATCAAAACCACCCAGTTTACCGTCAAAGGTCTTCGCCCCAACACCATCTACCTGTTCATGGTTCGAGCTGTCAGCAGCCAGGGCCTGAGCGATCCGAGCCCAATGTCTGAGCCCGTCAGAACACAAGGTACCTATCATGCATACTGATTGTATTAAAACCCTGAAGGTTCCTTTTCTCCTCTTTGCTCAGTGTAATTTATTTTTCTATGATATGATAAGGTCACTGTTCCACTGCAAAGTGTGATACTTATCAGCTCCTTTCCACATTTTGCTGCAAATTAGAGTACCAAAGAAATGCAGAATATTCCAGAGGTCAAATTCTGAAGCTCAGCTCAGCTCATTAGGGCTACACTTAAGCATTTATGTAAAATAAGCATGTTTACTTTTGGAAGGCGTAGCAGCATTAGTGCCTTCCATGCAATGTCAGTCTTCATAATAGGAGAAAATGACCATCTCCAATACCAGAGATTATATGATTACAGCGCTGAACAGACTATACAGTGATGTTAAAAGTCTCAAGCAACAAAATAAATTAATAAGAAACAGTTTTTGGTTATGCTCAAACAAAAGTCAAAAGTATCTTAAAGGGGTTTTAGCAGTTTTCAGCTAAAGGTCTTAAGATGATATATAGGAATGTTGATTGATAATGGCAAGCTTTGATGATGAACTGATTCTTAACTTGTTTTTTCCGTTTTACTTTTTGGCTTATCTCTCCCTGTTCGTTTAGCTTATGATTTATGACTGTATTGGGTTCTCCACATGACCTTTTTAAAAATATAATCTTCTTCTAAGAATGTTTTCCTGTTTCCTTCAGTAAATAACTCAAACTGTGGCTCACATCTACCACACACAGGATCTCATATACTGAAGTATTTTTATTTGTTTAACTGAAAACAGATGTGAGTGGAAAATGAACAGGGAAAATAGTGTCATAGAGTCGATTAATCTTCAATTCAATATTTCTGAGGGTCAAACATTCAGAGATCATGTGTCATGGTGGTGGTTCAGTTTTTCACAACAAAGTGAAGGCATCTCACATGGCTATTTTTAACTTATTTCTTACTGTTGTTACAGTCCCTATTAAAACATGGAAATAATAGTTTAGAAATAATGCCTTGTCTTTTTAAATGAAGTCAACTTTTTAAAACTGTATGCTCATTTGTGTCATTCACCCTCATTTTTTTCTGAATCAAGGTTTCCTACTTGAACTTTAATTGCTTTTCCAACAAAGTTCTGTCAAGTCATCTGGATGGTTTCCTTTTTTGTTGTCGTTGAGACGTTTCATCCTTCATCCAAAGGACTTCATCAGTCCAAGGAGCCACAACAAACTCAGTCATGACCTGACTGAACTTTGTTGGATTTTTTTTACCTCAGTTACTGACCATGAACTTTGATGTTTTGAACCACTTTGGCTATGGCTGCCTCAGAGGAGTTGATGGGGGAGAGGGTGGGCCCCATAAATCATCTTATCACCAGCAAAACTGGTTGGCCTATGTGAGTGTGCTGCTTGTGGAACTGAGTTTGTTTGTGGCTCCTTGGACTGGCAAAGTACTTTGGATGAAAAATGAAACGTTTCAACACCAAGAAACCGTCCAGATGACCTGACTTAACTTGGATATTTTACCTGGATTATTGGACATGAACTTTTCTTTATTTTGTTTATTTATTCTTTTCTGATAGATATAAGCCCTCCAGCTCAGGGTGTTGACCACAGACACGTGCAGAAGGAACTTGGTGAAGTTATTGTTCGACTGCATAACCCAGTCGTACTGAGTCCAACCACCATTCAGGTCACATGGACTGTAAGTACAGCATATCATTTTGTCCCAACTGCTATATTAATTTGATTGATATAGCTTTTTTAAGAAAAACATGCATCTTTTTCATTTGTCTTGCTATTGCCCTAGCAGTCTTAAAGCTTTAGTTCTACAAATTTCAGTCATAAAGTGAAGGCAGTTGACAATATAGACCCCTCCTTTGAAGCTGCTCCTGAGGCAACCATTTGTTTTATGTCGGGGAATTTCAGTCAGGCTGTTCCCTCAGTCTGCAGCTTTGAAATATTGTAATTGATGGCTTAGAAGTAACCAAACATCAAATGGCAACAAAATGGTTTCTTTAACCACAGCTATCATCAAAAGACTTATCAAGGACATCTGGATGTTCATCAGTATTCACAAACCTGTTTCTATCTTAAAAGCAGAAAAAATAAAAATAAAAAAAGATGCTGATGCTTGCTGGTTTCCTTCTGCATTTGTGAAAACACATTCATCTTCCTACATGTAAGCATACACCTGATCGTCCATCATCGATAGGCACTTAATCTATTGTTTGTTTAGCCACAAGAATCAAATGTATGCTAATTTTAAACAGTTTGACGAACAATTAAAACACTGAAAACAGTTCCATCTTGGATGTGAGCGTTTATATTTAATTGCATGGTAATGAGAACCAAAAAGAACTGTTCAGATTCTTAAAGGATGAGATGTGTATTCATAATATGTGGTGGTTTGTTTAGATTATGGCACTATAAATCATTCAACTGCAGTTATTTGTGTAATATCACATAGTGGAATGGGGTGCCTGTTTGCATTTTCAAATGAACAGCATTAATAGTTTCCCTGGTGACATGTTTATTGGTCCCTGCAGTAAGTCTCACCCAAGAGTTGGTTGTTAATTTAATGCTAAACCATTGCTTTATGATTGTAATGTACAGCCAACGCAACACACGTCTGCCTAAATCAATAAAGGGGTTCTTACCATAAACAGAGGAACCACTTTTCTATTTCCAAATCATTTCATTAATAAAAGTCACACCCCAACAAGGAAATCCATTTTGCTGATTTACTCAGTCCACACTGGTGAAAAACAGCTGCTTAATATCCCACTTGAAAGCAGCGCTCACTTCCTATACTGTTAACAAGCTATTACAGTGAGTTATGCGCCGGCTCCTCCTCTGCATAAATTCACCTTTTTCTGTTCGACTAAATGGCCTAAGTTTTAAGGGAAGTACCCTTTGTGGCTTTCAGGGTTTCATCACAAATTACGTCTCCTATTATTTTTTGTTGGAAATGCTTGCTGATAACGCTTTTGCTGTGCAGTGCCTTAGTGTCCCCTGGGTCTATGTATTTGTTGCTCCATGACATTCTTATAGTTTCAGCCCATCTTAGATGTGCTGAGGCCTGCTTCAAACTGTCTTGGTTTATTATGCACTTGGGACATGCACATGCCCTGTAAGGTGGCATTATGGAAAGCCTTTTTAATGGAAACGGCAACGCTCTGGGCTAGGAGCCGTGAGCATGAGGTAATGTTAGCGTGTTAATTGTGCAGAGTGTGGCATGGCTGGTGATAAAAGCCCCATTAAACAAGTAACAGCTTCTAAAGTGTCATGCATGCAATCTTGTATAACAGAAAATTGCATAAACTCCAATGTCACAGTGTAGCGTTCACGAGTCCTCTTAGCTGAAGAACAAAATACAGCCAATACATCAATGAACCCATCTTAATTTCCTTGTTCAGGTGGATCGTCAGTCCCAGTTTATTCAGGGTTACAGAGTTCTGTACAGACAGACATCGGGGCTTCCATCACCAGGATCATGGCAGACCCAGGATGTGAAGGTTCCATCTGAGCGCAGCGTCATCCTCTCATCACTCAAGAAGGGAATCGTTTATGAAATTAAAGTTCGGCCCTACTTCAATGAGTTTCAAGGCATGGACAGTGAATCCAGGACAGCACGAACTTCTGAAGAGGGTAAGAAGGAGTAATAACGTAAGATGATCTCAATCAAAAGTTGCACAATTCCCAAATTCTTCTCAGCTAAGTGTGTTTGTGTTCTCTAAATTTAAGTTCAAATGTGAACGTATGTGTATGTGATTGTGTTCGTTGTCTGAGCTCCATCCTGATTGTTGATGTTCTTTGTTTGGGCGTGATGTGGCCAACCTTCTTCTAAAACATCACTCAGTGTCCACAGACCTGAACTGTAATTGGCCATAGTAGTGTCGTCCTCCAGCAAAGACAATCTGTCACCCAAAGCTTGATTCATAAAATCTCTGACAAGGCCACAGAGCAGTGTGGCACACAATCCTTCACAAGGACACACAACAAATGCACACTGTGATATCTCTGCCCTGAGGTGTTGATGTTCCAGGTTCTGAAGGGGGTGGAGCTAGGTGAGCAAGGTGTGCGTGCAGGACAGAGAGAGAATAAGAACATACATTGTGAGTTGCAGCTGTGACAGCAGCTCCTGTTGTCTGATTTTGGCGGTTGTGTTAGTAAAGGCTCTAAAGAGCACACAGTCGGCTGTGACTTCCTTTTTTTTGCTTGCTGATGTGCATTACAATACGTTAGTGCCTCACCAGCCTCTCTTTAGCTTTTAGGTCAAATAACGTACATTTTCTTATGATATGAAATAAGATTAAAATAAAACACAATACATCCTGGCAATAGCACACACACACATACACTTTTTTTTTTTTTTTTATTAGATACAGCGCCTATCTTGCCACAGCATATTCAGAACTGCACATAGTGGAGACAGTTTACATCCTGTTGTTTTGACAGGCTCATTTATTTTTCGTTTCTCAGAGGGACCATATCTCCAGTGGCCAAGCTGTATATGCAGTACAACACACAGGCTGGCCACAGGAGTGGAGCTGTCATCACATTACAGCTGTCCCTGACACATAACCTCATGCAAATAGGCACATAAAGTGAGCACAAACGTGCAAACACACCTATCTCTCTAAGGCCTCAGAAACGCCATGCTCACACTATTACCAGTGTTGATAGCACACTATGCTTGTGCTCTGATCACATCTGAGTTCAACTAAATCTCAACCAATTTCTCTTACAGTCATAACCTTGCTACCTTGCCTGTTCATAACTGTGACATTGTCAAACATGTGGCTATGGCCTTTTCCGAGTCCCTGGGATGACTAATAGGGCTGGTGGACTAAATCAGATGTGGGCAACTTAAGGCCCGAGGGCCAAAAGTGGCACTTGGACAATTTCCATCAGGCCCTTAATAGCCTTAGTTCAAAGAAAACTTTTTTTTTTTTTTTTTTTTTTTAATAGACTGATTTAAAAACAGCAATTTATCAACAAGTCCTAAGGAATCCAAAAAAGTTCAATCTGGTCCTCTGGACATTCAAAAAAACAAAACAACAACAACAACAAAAAAATAAAGTCCTAAGAAAATTTAAAATGAACATCTTATGCAATACTTAAAAAAAAAATAATTAAGTCATGTTTCCGGACCCTTGTTTTAAATGATTAAAACATTCTAGATCAAGGGGTGATTAAACTGTATGTTGTCCTTTAGCTAACAACATTTTTAAAAATCCCCTGAGAATATGCAAGCAATTACAGGACTGTATGCTCAGCATCCTGATCTGTTCATTCTCTTTAGTTTCCCTTCTCTTTATTTCATTTATTTGTTTTTTGCACATTCTCTAACCCTCCATCTGGACAGTCTGGTTGATAAATGAACCCTGACTACCATCTGCTTTCCACTGAACGACTGTCTGAGAAGACGCGCTAAGGAGCATCATCTTTTATGTAACATAATGTTTATTAAGAGAGAAGAGAAATTTTATGTTTGCATAAATGTTCATTTGTAGACTAATTGTCTATTCTGATCTCTAGGGAGATCTCACACCACCCGTTTTTTGTCATTAACTATTGGCTACTTTTATCGTAATGATATGATATGTTTACATTCACTCATCATTCAGCACAGCATGGTGTGCACTTTCAACACCGGGGGTCACATTCCTGCCTCCCATACATCACTCTGCTAATGGCCCTATTAGCACAGCCTCCAAGGCTTCTAATGAAAAATGTGTATTGTTTAGCTCAAATACGCATGATAATAAGCTGTTAAATCATTCATAACATTAACTTTGAACGACATTGTCTGCGATGGCTTCCACGGACAAACTTGGCACTTTATCACCTGGACGTAATACAGCATTGGAGGGTCCTGACTATGATGGTTGATCAGATGCTCACTTGGTAGATTGTTTCTAATCTGGCTGAGGTGTTGGGTTCATCATTGGAGCCATTCATCTTCTAGTATGCCAGGGCCTTCTGGCTCTCTGGGGGCTGGTGTGGCCAATTGCGCTGAGGGATGAGCACAGATTTGCAGGTTGACATGTGCCATTTTGGATGGAGGTGAGGTGAGGGAGAGGCAGCCCTGGAGTAATTGACCTGTCAGTATGCTGCTGTGGTGCTGCTCCCCTGCCAGCCACTGCGGAAATGAGAAAACATTATTTTTAAAACGTTATTTCCAGTTGGGCCAACTGTTATTTATTTTTCCTCTTACCCCTTGTGGGGTCAGATTGTTGCCATCGGAATAACAACAGAGGTTTATGAAAGCTTGGACTGGCCTTATTTCTATCCTCTCCCTGTTTGCCTGTGGATAGCGCTGATTCATTTAGACTTACCTTGCTACAACACTCTCCTGCATCCTTACCTACTGGCTTTAGTTTCATCTGGCTGATCAATAATGTTGGTCAATATGTTTACTGTAATCTTGTTTCTTCCTCCTAAAAGTTGACTCTTTTCATATTTTCTTTGCACTTGTGCTTCATCTCTCAAAGCCTGTTGACCCGTGTGCTGAACTGGTGAACGCTCTAGTCTTGGCGTGACTGAGAACTCTTGCTTGACAGTGCCATGCCGTCATACGGCAAATCAATACCAGCATCCTCTGTGCAAATCCACCAGACCAGACAAGAGCACAGGCTGATATCTTAAATCGTAGCAAACTGTTACAGGCAGCCGATATCCATGTCATATCTGTCCTATTCTTATCTTGACAATTCTCAGTCGACTGTAGCATCCCAACATAATATCAGTCCTGAGAAAAGCATGTGCACTGGTCACTCTCTTTGTTTTTATTCATACATTTCTTTATATATTTGTTCTCAGTCACTCTTATAAAATATTCCATCTCAGTATTATTTTATTGATGACTGCCAGAGCTGTAGAATTATGTTTCAGACAGTTGATCTGCCATGTATTTTCAGCTCCCAGTGCCCCTCCTCAGCAAGTAACAGTCCAGACTGTGGTAAACCAAAACAGTACTTCTATTAGCATCTCCTGGGACCCCCCTCCACCAGACCACCAGAACGGCATTATTCAAGAGTACAAGGTTTGTTGCAGCAAGTCAGGGTTGATTGTCACTAAACTCTTACACAGCCATACACAATGAACTGCATTTCAATTTTTTTCCCCTGTTCCTACTTCAGATCTGGTGCTTGGGGAATGAGACACGTTTCCATGTGAATAAGACGGTGGATGCAGCCATACGCTCTGTGGTGGTGGGAGGGCTGCAGGTGGGAGTGGTATATCACGTGGAAGTGGCAGCCAGCACAAGTGCAGGAGTTGGAGTCAAGAGTGAACCTCAACCTATTATCATTGGTAAGACAAACTGATAATGACTCAGAGCCTTACATCATTCAGTTATGAGTGAATGGTATGATATCAAGAGGGGAGAGGAGCATACCAAATGGAAGGAACTGCTAAAACACTGTAGGTTTAAAATGTGCTCTGACTACATGTGATTTATGTGGAGCTCTGGCAGATTTTCTCTGATTTGACCCATAACTGATGACTTGGCCTGCAGCATGTACTTATTTCCCCTGTGTCACTCACATAATCCATCTCTGAGAACAGAGCACTGAGCTTGCAGTTATTATATGTTATGCTTTTTTGTTTGTTTTTAGATGGGCTAAAGGGTATGTGTTTACTTGGTTTTAAAGTTAAATGTAGATAGAAGATTTTCTGGAACTTTGAATGTACATTTACAAATCTAAATATACATTTTTCTTGCCATTTTGAAAATTGCACATTGCTTAGAATTTTGGGCTAATGTAAAATAGATGTTAAACAGTCTGATAGGAAGGACCTGTGGATTTGCCATCGAAGGCGCTCATGGCTTCCTCCTTTTATTTCTCTTGATGTGTTATACTAACAGTGGAGTGAATTTGCAACAGAGCAAGCAGCTTGATCACGCGAGGTTTTGTTATAAGCTTTTAGACTTTAACGTTGGCTAAGTCTGCACATTGAATTTCACTGTTCATCCTTTAACTCTACAATTCATCCTGCTATGGTGAACAGCTGAAATTATAAAAGCTTCTTTCTTTGAAATTCTTCTGTCTCCAGCCTTGTTTTAATATATTCGTGGTTTAGAAACAGGACAACTCCATGCTCTTTAGTATTTCATAGATGACTGGTATTTTGCTGGAAAAATCAAAAGCCACATAGCTGAACTATAACTGTCTGCCTAGCATTTCATTAATGCTTTCTATTTGTTTCTGTACCCTCAGGTAAAGAGTTTCGGGATGTGATCATACATGGAAACCGGAACAACAGCATCACAGAACAGATAACGGACGTGGTCAAACAGCCTGCTTTTATTGCTGGTATTGGAGGGGCCTGTTGGGTAATCCTCATGGGTTTCAGCATCTGGCTGTACTGGAGAAGGAAGAAGAGAAAGGGTCTGAGCAACTATGCAGGTTAGCTTGACAAACTGAGCATTAAATGATCTGGGGCTTTGAGAAAAATAAGAATAACCTCTTGCATGTATTTGCTTATTCCACATTGAAGGAGAGCATTTTATCAACAGATATTTAGTTAGATGAAATTGGGGTCATGGATGCCGAGGTATACAGTTTATTTTGTTACAGCTAAGCAAAGGGATGAATGTCAGCTCAGAACATTTCCAGAGGGAAGAAGTTTTTGACATATCCACCCACGGTGTTAGAAGCTAAGGGTTGATGGAACTGAGTTGGCGGACATGACTGGTTGCTGGTCACTAAATCCGAAGCTTGTTCACCTCTCCACCCACACATTGACCCTTACATATTTCTGACAAAACGCTAGTAAAGACTAGCAAGCAAGGTCACATACACTGCCAAGTTCATATGCTTTCAGTAGAGGGATAGAAATGTTATGAACTGGTTCGGTATTTTGCTAATATATACAAATATTCCAGTTTTTTTTTATCTTAATATTATACAAAATTGAAGAGAAACACTTTTTTTTCTGTGATTTACACTTCATCTTTATTTATTACATTTAAATGTTTGTGTGTTTTATTTTGTTTTGTGGCACTGTCTCTGCACCCCGTGGCCCCTGAGCTGGCTGCTTTCCTCGCTTTAGCTCTGCACACTGGGGGAAACTGAGGTTTCACCATGGTTTGTTTGACCCTCATCACTTCTAAACTTGGCCTCCATCCCAAGTGTGCAGAGACACCCCACCCCCACCGCCCCCAAAAGCACTGCTTATCTCCGCAGGCTTTTTAACGCACAACTTTTCTGTCTTCTTGTTTTGCAGTTCAGTCCTTCACCTTCACCCCTGCAGGTACTGTTCATTTGTCCCGTCTACTCACCCCCACCTGAACGCAGGTTCACCTGCGCTTTTAGCCCTCATTGCCTGGACTGCTAGATGTTTGGTCATGGCCAATAAAAATTGAAAAAACACAATTGTGAAAGTGATTTTTCTGATAAAAATGAGAAATTATATAAATATATATATATATATATATATATATATATATATATATATATATA